CCTTGCTCTCGTGAACTAAAAAATGGGTCACGTAGAATTCAACCGTACACTTGTATTCCTGCAAGAAGGAAGACTCAGGAAAACATTATGGACCATTTTGGATAGCGTGGCTACTCGCCGCAGGGCAAGCAAACGAAGAAGGGAGAAACAGTCTCGTTTGAAGTTACCGCGAACTTGAAACGGTAATCTCCCTTGGATTTCGTGATTTTTCGCCCTCTGGTCTCGTAAACCTTCTTCGGATCCTTGATAGCTCCCATTAACAAACATAGCATGGATTCCCACTGATTTCTGTTCAAAGAATCGCCAACAAAAACCAGCCTCTTTCCTCTAATCAATTCCAGCATCTTGCTTGCATTAAACCTAGTAGCATATACCAGTTAGCAGTAGCAGTCATCATGAGTAACCACAAGCTACTCTTTTTTCTTTCTTTCTTCTAAAATCTCTCTCTCTCTCTCACTCCACACACACACACACACACACACACACATATATATATGGTATTTGACGAAGTAAAAAAAGCTTTTCTAGGTGAGCAAGCATCTTTGTTTGTTTGTTTTTTTTAATATCTCTCTTTCTCTCTCCCACAAAATGAAGGCTGGCCTTTTGCCTTTACCTGGGAATGTTGCAAGCTTGAGGCTGCCACCTCCATTTCATGTAATCTCTATCCAACCTTCCGTTAGTCTCACAATTAAAGCCTTCGTCAATGAAGGGACAAGTAGTATTTCGATACAAGGGATAACTTTGGTCAAATACCCACATCCCATTGGCAACATCACATGTTAGCTCACTCCCACTACTTCTACTCATTCTGCTGTTTTCCTGCATTGGATTTATCCCGCTCAGAAGTTTGACCTCGTGATTATCAGGAACATGCCCGCTGCTGTTGTATAATTTGGCCCTCAAATCTTGACTGGGCAACGCTGACGTCGGATGCAGGGGACTCCCAGATGTATTTCCTGGTTTTCTAGGCACAATATTCTTGTTGGGAGCAAGTGCTGAGAATTTTGTATCCGAGGCGGTAGTAGTACTAGTAGTATTGGATCTATGGATGCCGTTGAAACTAGTAGTACCTACCTGTATTTGGATTTCATTAGCTGCTGCTGTTGCTGTACTCGGATCACTTGCATCGTCGGAAGCCGAAATGTCCACGTTTCCACCTGTCGGGAAGGAATTGATGCCTTTTGCTGAAAGATCTCCCTGGTAAACATGAGGATCTAGAGTTTTCGAGACCACAGGAACTGGTAGGAAGCGACCGGAACTCTGCAGAGGAGTTTGGTTGAAGGGGAGATGAAGAGGAGGGGTCTGTTGGCGTTGAAATGGAGGGGTAGCTCTGAGAACCCAAATGGAAAAGACGGCGAGGAAGGTTAAAGAGGAAGAGATTGTGAGAGGAAACACCAGAAATCTAGCGGGCTTCATCGAAAGACCTCTCTGCTTCTCCACTGTAGTGGGTACTAATCATTGCAAGTTTAATTAGGAAATAGTAGAATATATGCTACACGTTAAATGGTTTGGATTACAGCACTGCAGAGAATCAGTAGTCAAGCTACTAGATTTGGAACCGTTAACAGGGAAAGAAGGACATTGCGGTGTGCGGTTGCTCTTTCCTTTCAATGGATACACTACTGCTTACTACTACCTGTCGCTGCAGAAGAGAAAAGAAGCTCTAAGCATTGAAATATAACTCAAACTGATTCACAGGTACTTCAAAAAAATAAAAATAGACCCAGTGAACTTTTTAGGAACGGTTGGTTGGCTCCTCAACTGCTCTTGCTCCTCCTCCCATCGATTTTAAATTGGAACCGATGGCTTTGGATCGGGACCATGTTTATTATTACTGCCGTACTACTGTAGAAAAGGAAAGAAAGGAGTATGATTGGTGGTGGTGGGGCATCCGTCTTCTTCTCCTCTCTCTGTTTTGTATGTGTCTCACTAAGGTTCTCCTTCCATGCATCTGATTTGCTGCTCTCCCTCTCTTGGTCTTTGGTTGAAGTATCGTCGCTCTCTCAAAGCAGAATGCCTCCTACAGAATTATCCTTAAACTATTGATAATAGGGGTTAAATGAACCCACTCCCTGTTGTATAGCTTTTTTTATTCCGAGAGGTGAAGTTAAATATACTCTAAAAATGTTACCTTCAAATGTACTGCTGGGATTTTTTTTTTTCCTTTTGCTTCAAATTAATTTCACCTTTCAATTTGGAGGATGAACACGGCGTCAACTATGAACAGTTTCAAAAGAAAAACCTGGCACCATTCAATCCAAATTCTTCCTTTTCTCCTGGTGGGTTACGAAGGTCGTACTATACGAATACATTTTGTATCTCAGAAGTTTTCTTATTTGAACATCTCAACCAAATACTCGAAAATTAAAAAAAAATTAAAAAAAAAAAAGAGAAAAGAAAAGAAGGGGGCCATCAACTCCAAGATCAGAAAACAGCCTCCATGAGAATGTGCTTTCGTTTGGGGTAGCCCAGCCCAAGTATGTGGTTCAGGTAAACCCTGCCGTCCTTGACGGTGGCTGCCGTGACAATACGATGAGTGGCACCCTTGGTCACGCCTGAGACCCTGGCGGTATCCCAGTCGTCGGTGGTCTCGACCAGTCTAGTCGGGTTGCCGGCGACAATAAGCTTTGTGGGAGACAACAACTCCAGCCCATCTCCGAATTTTAAACTACCTCCTTCAACAAGTTTTACCAACCTAACCACCGGGCCGGCCTCCTTCCCAGCGACAGCGTTAGTAGCAACCTTGTAGAGCTGGCCGGCCATTGTATGAACCACCAAGAAGTAGCCATTGGGATGATAGATGATTCCGTTGATGCCAACAATTTGGTTCTGCCAGCCGTGGGGGGTAAAGAGGGGATTGCGTATGGTGCCCAGGAATTGGCCGGTCGCACCCACTTTCCAGATTTTGCCTCCTTTGGGGTCGGTCACGTACGAATTACCCTCCTCATCCACTGCCACGTCATCTGCAAATGCTTTCTCATCCTCTGCAGTAATAATAGTGCATGCAATATATCTATCATCGATTCATCGTCTCTCATTCATCATCAATCAGGAAGCCAAAAGGGAGAATTCATCGTAGGAGGAAAAAAAAAAAAAAGAAGAAGAAAGAAAAAGAAATGATTAACAAAGATGCAGCCCGTTAACAGCTTTAAGTTTTCATTTTATTTTTTGGGAATAATTTGAGAAACCTCCCCTGAAGTTTCTAACAATTTCACTGAACTCCCCTGAGGTTTGAAAATTTTTCACATGCCTCCCTTATCATTTAAAATGACAATTTTACTCTTAAATATTTTAGTGAAATTCCCTATTTGATATGCTTATGCTTAGAATGAATTTTAAAATTATTTTTCCTTCTCATTTCTTTTTTTTTTTTTCCACTAAGAAAACTATATAACTACCACTATTGCATCTAGTTTTCATTACAACCAAATATCGAACTAGTGATTTTTTTGAAAAGTTAATTTTATATGTTATCTAATATTTTTGCTGATCTTTGTTTTTCTGTTTTTTGGTATTACAATTAACAATAAATCAAAACAAAAAAGTCTAAAAGCACTACTAAATTATGATAATCTCACTCCTCCAAAAATTCATAAATTCTAAATGAATTATTTCAACATTTCTTTTCTATCTAATATATCTAAATCCATAATAAAATACTATCAAAAGTATCATATCATATTAATAAAATTATTATTATTATTATTTATATTAGATATAGAGACATGAAAAATTTGACACATTTTCTTTATAATTACACTATATAATCTTATAATAATATAGATAAATAAATTAAAACTCATTACACAAGACATTTTGGAATATTCATTTAAAATTTTGATCAAATCAATATTATTTTAAAATTTTGTCACTAAAACTACCAAATTAAGGAAAATAATTATAATTTTTCAAATCATAAGGGAGCTCAGTAAAATTGTCAAAAATCTCAGAAGGGTTTCTAAAAATTATCCCTTCTATTTATTGATTGAAGTGCTGTAGGAGTACTTGTTTCACCGTTCATTGTTCATATTGATTATTAACGCCCTGCAAAAAGTAAAGGGTGATAATATATTCTCAAATTGGACGGATGCAAATTACTCTGCCCCCAAAAAACAAAAAAAAAAAAAAAAAAAAAGTGAGCAGGCCCTTGAATTAAGTAATGGTTCAACTGTTTCCTGCTCATGTCATGGGATAGGGAGTAGTCAATGTAGTACTACTCTACAAATCTGTCAGTTATCCCAACGCCCATTGAGGCCCAAACCGCAAAGTCAAATACAGATCAAACTTCCAGTTTAGACCTTGACTTGAAAGGTTTTCTTTCTTTCTTTCAAAAAAAAAAAAATCTAAATAACCAAACAGGACCGCGAAGTATAAAAGGTCAAAAAAAAAAAAAGGATGAAAAATGTTTTCACAGATCGGAATTATTTAGAAGGGGAAAGAAAGGAAAGGAAAAAAAAAAAAAAGCGATGAAAAGCAAAAGAGCGTGAGTAACAACAACTTTTGGAGTGCCATTTATTAACACCTCTCTCATCTCAGTAATAATAGCAGACCAACTCCCCCTTCGATAAATAATAAATAATAAATAGACAAAACAAACCAACTACTGACGACTGACCAATCGCCGATCAACATCGTCTCCAAGCTCAACGCCCACCTACCCACCACCTTTCATTCGCCAATGCCCGCCACTTCGCTTAACCCAATATTTACTTTTCTTTTTTTTTAAAAAAAATAATAATAAAAAAAAACACACAAATTTTTCATTCCAGAATCAATTATGATATACTAATAAGAAGGGAAGAGAAGGAAATTGTTTTGGTTAAAGCAAAGACGTTGATTGATTGATTAACTGATCGGGGCCTGGCCCCTTCTAATAAACGTGAAAAAACAAACACACAAATGCCACCACTAGCTACACACAAAAAGTAGTAGCCGTAGAGGCTGACTAGTCAGTTGAAAGCATTGACCGAGTTTAAAATAATTTTTTTTATAAAAAAAAAAAAAAAAAAAAAAACGAATACGACTGGTTGCCGAGAAGAATAGAGGCGGGGGCAGCCTAACCTGGGCCACCGAGTTTGGTAAGAAAGAGGCGGTTCCAAGTGGTGATATCATAGGCCGCCAGGGCACTGTACCGGTTGCCCAAAATGTCAGCTATGCACACCACCACCCGATTCCGAGGGCGGTCGATGGTGAAGCCCAGAGTGGCGTTGCCGGCCAAGTCAGCGTCCTTTACCACCTGGATCTCCTCCAAGGCCGAGGCTTTGGGATGATGATGCTCGGCAAGAATCGGAACTACGCCCATACCCCCCTCGAACAACGACACGATGAATCGACTGTTGACGTCGTCCCACTTGCTGCACTCCCTCAGCCACCCAACACTCTGGTATTCGTACACGTGCCTGCCCGCCTTCCCAGCCGTCCCCAGCCTTATCACATATCCGATGGGAACGGCTGATATCAGGAACAACACCAACAAACACCTGGTGGAACAGCAAGGGGAGCGAGCCATGGCCGCCGTCTTACTCTCAGATTCAGATTTTCTCCCACCTCTTTCTCTATGCCTAAGCCCCGCCCCCTCCTCTCCCTACTCTAATATGTGCGTATCTACTCTCTCTCTCTCTCTCCCGTCTATATATATATATATATATATATATATATATATACACATACACTACACACGGCAGAAGATATGCTACTACTGTCCTAGCCGTCTTCTTAAGGGATAATTTCACAAATCTACCTGAAGTTTTACAATAATTTAACTGAGCTTCCTTAAAGTTTTGAAAATTATATTTTATCCACCTAAATTAATTTAAATTATTGAGCAAGTCTAAGGTTTGATAATCACAAGTATCAAATCAAGAGACATAGGTATAATTCTTGAAATCTTACTTAGTAAAATTAGTAACAACTTTAGATGTGTATTATGAAATTATCCATAGTCTAAATATAGAAGGTCCTCTTTCCTCTTTCCCATCTCTCCTTCCTTCCAGAAGAATTAAGTCTTTTTTTTTTTTTGTCAACACAGGGTGTCCGGTCAAGATTCGGAGACGGTCCGACTAATCTCCTGAGCTTGGAGTACAACGCCACCCCAATCGCATTCAGGTGTTAAGTGAGGTCGATCCCGCGACGTGCGAGAGTGTCGGAAGCAGCCACAAATCGCGTGATTTAGAGCCGGGCAATTAAGTCTAATTAGGATATGTCTTTTTGGTACTGACGGCAAAAGAGGAGGCTGTTGGCTGTACACTAGGAGGAGGATTGGGGTTGGTAGCTTTGACTTTTGATTTTTCAGAGAGAGTAATTGAACCAACGACCACGTACACGTAGACTACCACCAAGCCAAAGACCAAAATCGCAGCTCAGTTGAGCTGGCATTGGAAAATCCGAAGTTAAACACTAGGGGGTTTTTGAAATCGACGAGCCAGAGTACTTTTGAGTTTGGGCATCTGGCAACACAAAAATTATTGCTGGTTGCTTTTATTTTTTAATACTTTGATTTCGCGGTCCTTTTCTTTATTTATTGCTGGTATTTAAGCACACAAAAATTAGGGCCAGGCGCCAATGAAAATGCAGATCAGGGACCGGATTACGTTCTATTATTATTATTATAATTTTTACAACTTTTGGTATATAATTTTAGTGTAATTGTGAATTGGTTACATGAGTGCTACTCCCTCCGTCCCATTAGAAGTGTCATGCTTTCCTTTTTAGTCCGTCCCAAAATTAGTGTCACTTACCAATAATGGTAATAAAAACTTTCACCGATTTCCACTGATACCTTTAAATCTTACAACAAGATTCTTATATTTTAGTGGGCCCCAAAGTTCACTTGTGAAATAGAGAATTTTCATGTGATGGTGTGTGAGTGTCATGTTAGAACTAGCAGGATTCGTGCATTGCACTTTCTCCAAAAGGGCTTGAAAATATATCATATGTATGGGTCCCACAATCATATCACTACTCTATCCTACCATCAATGGAGCAACACGTCAGGCTGCATAGCTAATTCAATCGGGGCATTCTTGGAACATAACCCATTACCTTTTGAAATCGGAGCACTGTTGAAAAAATGTGGGATTCCCGAAGCACGACAAATTCATTGGGACAGAGGGAGTATTATTTTACATTAAATATTCTAAAAATTACGGTTCCGTTCGCATTAGATATTTTTGAAAATATAGTTTTGAGTACTTTTGTAATTTAAAATTTTGTTAGCATATTTTTAATTTTTTTGTTAAATTTTGACCACTACCCCTCCCCTTCTCCACCGACACCAAATCTCCTCTCTCCTTCCCTCCACTCCTATTTTTTCTCTCCTTTTTTAGTTGCAGCTGACACAATTATTAGAGAGGAGGAAGGGAAGGGAGAGGTGTTGAAAGAGGGAATGGGATAGAAGAGGAAGAGATGAGGGAGGAGGAGGATGGTGGTGAATGAAAGAAGAAAAAGGTGATAAATTTATTTTATTCAGTTTTTTATTTTTATTGTGTGCTTGAAATTGCATGTATTTAATGTATTTTTAAGAGGCATTTTGAGGATATATTACTGTAGGTTCTAAAAATTAAAAACTTTTAATTCAAAGTACACCTGGATCCAAGCAGAGGTAATTGGATGAAATTAGACAAAAGTTGGACTAGAGACGCCACGGCCCACGAGTCCGGTCCCCTACTCGTATATTGCAAACCAACCCGCAACCACCAGATCTGCTGACTTGGGTCGGACACGCATTTCTGATGGTGCGTGCAGTTTTTGTTTTTCATTATTATTATACTCTTAATTCGCTGGTACATTCCTTTTTGGCTTGTCAAATATTACGTGAGAGGGTGGGAAGTGGGACAATAAGTAATCAACCACCGAGGAAGTCAAAAAAACCACAGTGATAACTAGTAATTAATTCCCAGGATCGATACGATAGCTTTTCTATTCTATTCCTGTTTCTACCCTATACTAAGCAGAAGGAGTGAGTCCAAATGGACCGTGGAGAAATCAGAGGAAACTGAACTACTATCAAACTAGGGATGGATAAAATTATCCGCTAACCTGAAAACCCGTCATATCCGATCTGATCCGATCTGAAAATTAGGATATTCGATTTTTATTATTTGATCGGGTCAAAAGAGGGTCGGGTATCCGCTAAGATGCAGGGCGGGTTAGGGTCACATAATTAAACACCCGCGGGTACCCGATCCGCCCCGCATATATATTTTTTATTTTTATTTTATTTTTATACACACAATATAAAATAACAAGTTAGAACTAAATAAGTAATTTTATTGAACAAATTGCATTACAAATATGAGAGACTATAGTTTATTTACAAGATTCATTTGTAAAGGCCATGATCTTATATTTTATAGAAAAAAGTTTAATTAATGTGGAACATATATATTAAAAATTGTGCTACTTATTTCAAACTTTTATTGATTTTGAATTCTTTTAATTTTTTTTCCTTTATCTTATATTCTCTTCATATGCTTGTTTCTTGGTCGGAAACCTTTTTTTAGAAAAAAAAATTATTAAATCTTAGATGAATGTGTAAAATATAAAATTAAATTGGTATAAATTATTTTTTTAAAAAAAATTAAATGATAAACGAGGCAGTGGCGGATACCCGTTATAGGGTACCCGCTGATATGCGAGGCGGGTAAGGGTCAGAAAATGACTGACCCGCAAAGTGCAGGTCGGGTCAGCCAAATGATGAATGGGACGGATACCCGACCCGCGCCCACCACTACATCAAACTATAAATAAATAAATAGCTTTCCCGTGACAAGAGCTTAGTTATGCATCTCTTGTCATTCTTTTGTTTGTTTCCATAAATAAATAAATATAAATGTCACTTTTTCCTTCTCTTTTGCATGAGCATGTGATATTCAATTTTTTTTTTCTGTGATAAAATTTTTGTGCTACATTTTTTAATCCTAGTATTCGATTAAAGTCATCAACGTACGATAGCATATGCAACATAAGAAAAGGTAGCCGTCATGGGCCTAAGCTGAAGTGTATGCATTGGGTCACTAGAGGCCCACAGGCGTGTTCCCGAACCATTACCCCGAGCCCGAGTCCGAGCGTCCCGCGAAAAAGGAGGAGTATTAGAACCCAACCCAACCAACCACTCCTCATCTGATTCTGGCTTTTGTCACTCAACTCATATCACCGTCTATCGCCTCACGTCTGCCGTCAACCTCCTGAATCGCTGCTCAGGTCACTCACTCAACCATAATTCCATTTTCCCCTCTGGTCGAAGACGCTTGATACATATGCGATTTAGTTTCTCTCTCTCTGTTTTTTTTTTTTTGGGTATATGTCCTCGTTTATTCGCTTTTGGTAATAAAATTTGAAAAATGAAACAGTTTATATTAAGCTTGCATTTGCTTCTGGAGATTTCTGTATTCGAATATGAGATCCTTATTGGGTAGATCTGATACTCTGGGCCGTTTATTTTTCTTTTTTGTAGTTAAATTAGTCGGTTGAATCATACTAATGTGGTCAACGTCTCGGGATGGGTTCTCGTCATATTTCTGGACGAGGGTTTAGAAGCCGAAGCCAAATGGTTTTTACTTTCTATCAGTGTAACAATTGTAAAGGCAGTTTGGTTTTTTTTTTTCCATAATTGTTTTGCTTTTTTCCCCATTTTTGACCTGTTATGTTCCTAATTCTGGAATTTAATTGCCATATCTTATGTATGTTGAAAAAGGGGGGAAATTTTGCCTTTTTAGGATTACGTTGCAGCCATAGACTGGTCTGTTGGTTCTTTGGAAGAATCTTACTTTGATATCATTTTATTTTACTCGATTCATTGAATAACTAGGTGAAAACCATTTGTTCCGCAGCATCCGCATAATAATATTTTTGGGCCCTTCCTGTACTGCTTGTGGTAACTGGCCAGTTTCCTTCCTTAAACTTGACATTTGATTTTTTACTAGAAGGATAACCTATTATTCAGCTTTGGTCGACATTGGGTGGATGGTTAGCGGAATGATGAAATGATTGAATTGCAATACTTTTGGTTAAGAATAGACTAACAACAGATGGAGAAGATGAGAGAGGTTGAAGTTAGTCATGGATTTGGTTTTAACAATGTCGATTCACAAGTCAAGGGCTTTTGATGTACTTCCCATTTTGTTTCCAATATATTCTCTTTCAGAGTTCTTTTTGAAGGGAACCTCCCTTTGCAAGGCAAGGTGGCCACCACATATCCTTACCAGTATGGAGTTCCATTCTAAGTCTAACTCCATTTTACTATATGTGGTAAACTTTATCTGCATATGTAACCAGATCATTGTGAGAGGGCTGGCCTATTTACATTACCTAAGTTAGTTATTGGTGATTGAAGTTGGCTACATGACTAACTGACCTTGGAGGCCATTGCAAAACATAAGAGAAACTTGCCAAAAACATTTTTTTGTCTATTTGCAAAATGAGGGTTTTAACCAAGACGAATTTATGGTAATGTGTGTGTTGGGAGTAGACAAAGTTCAAGTGTTGTGCCACGGGGACTTGTCTCAATGAAAAGACACCAAGGATTTGTTAACCAGATGCTTGCTATTTTACTTGCGCATTCATGCTAAGTTACGAGTTTTCAAAATGCATTCATGCTAAGTTACCAATGTTAATTAGTTTTCAAATAGCATTCAGCAATTCCTTGTTGAACCACCCCCGCCTCCGCCCCCAAAAAAAAAAATGTAAATGAGTCTGGAGTGGTTTGCTAGCTTTTAACAACTAGAAGAGAAGTTACAAATATTTTTGGTATTTGCAGGGACATTCTGAATTTAACTCGGAAGCTAAATGGCTGCCCATAAGGTCGCACACGCCACCTTGACAGGACCAAGTGTGGTGAAGGAGTTAATTTTTGGAGCCGTATTTGGACTAGCTGCTGGTACCTTGTGGAAGATGCATCACTGGAATGAGCAGAGAAAAGTTCGTGCATTTTATGACTTGCTGGAGAAAGGTGATATCAGTGTGGTCGCAGAAGAATAGTTTGTAACTTCTCTTAGTTTTACTATTGCAACTGCTGCTGGTGCTTCCACAACTTGTGATCTCATCAATTGGCTCTTGAAATGAGCCATGAGCATGCCGATTGTGGTTTCTAGAGAATAAGTTATTTTGTACTGAATTTTTCATGCAACATCATTGCTCAAGTTTTTTTTAATGTGTTTTCTGCCGTTGGATCAGTTTCTTACTTTTCTCTTATATATTCATACACCCATATGATAGAACACCAGATGGATAATTATGGTTCGTTAGTTTTCATTTTTAAAAAATCTGCACAGTTTTTCTCCGTGCTTCCAATTGCTGCTGATGGTATTTGGGCTTGAACTGTTCCGCATTCTGCTTGACCTTTGAGTTTACCTGATCTTGATTTCTGAATGCAGCTCTAAAATGCTGTTATATAAGCATCTGTTCTGTGGACCGGATTCTTGCTAGATAGGAGTATTAACTTTGATTTCATGACACGAAATTAGAGTTCATGGTAGATGAAATTTCTGCTTACAAATGCCGATTGGTGGATGGTTCTAAGTGGAGTATTAGTAACCGAGGGCACAAGGGCTAATTGTCCTCTATTTCTCGTAGTGTTTGCTATAGTCCTTGAATGCGTAATGGCTTGCATGAGAAGTGTAAACTTGGGCTTTTCGCCTTCATTTCTCGAAAGACTGTTGAGTACTTTTTTTTTTTTTTAAATTGTCAATCCGTTGTGTACGTCGAGTATCAGGAGATTTATTCTGAAGTTGCACGAAAATGTACAAGTACCACGTAATCAACGGATGGGTAATTTAAATTCATAGAACTTTTTGGTTGTCCAGACACAAAAATGTGTAAGGAGCACATAATTAACCGATGGATGGTTTAAATGCATAAACTTTCTGATAATGGTTGTCAGAAATGAATGGCAGTTAGTTACACTTATTCATTTTACACCACCAATCCTGTGGATTGCCTCAGAATGAAGTGTCAATTTACAAGAGCGGCCTCCTGATGTTTGGGTGTTGAATAAATTGCTGCTAGTGCGCAACACGAATACCTTGAATGCTCCCCAGCTCCAGCTCCAGCTCCAAGCCCCAGCAGGGCAAAACCAAATACAGAAAAATGAAGAGCTTGTACAAGTATTACCGTAGGGGTAGAATCATGCCCAGCGATATTAAATAAATTGACCTTGGAGTACAGATCTTAGGGCAGGGACCCGAACCACAATCTGAAATCAAGGTTGCTGCTTTTATTCCTGCCGATTGACATCCAACCTCGGAACTCCATTAATAACAGGCTTTAATGGGTTCTGCAAATCATGTAGTCGTTAACCAGGAAGCAATTTATTTCTTAAAAATTCATAGGGGAAGAAACAAAAGCAACCTGAGATGTTCGAATACTACAATCAGAAAACGGTAAAAAATCACATCTACAACTACGCATATGCACAAACACAGCACGATCCAAACAAATCATGGAGGCAGCAAAATTGAGGCAAAAGGGGAAATATCATGGGGGTTACGGCAAATGTTATCTGGTTCACCCCTATCAGAACAAATTCTTGACATCTAGGCAAGGAAAGAAATAGTCGTGTTATAAGATCTAGTCATTGACAAATCAAGCAATTTCCATAAGATGATTAATGCTTTTCAAAAACTGGAAGCAAAGCTTCCCAAATTAAGTGGTTTAGGCAATTTAAATCGCATTCAATGAAGAAATCAGAAAATTTTATAGAGAGTAAAAACACGTTATTTATGTTTATTTTTGGCAGCCAATCACGCATAATTTAGATCTCAATACAAAAGAATTAAAGCAAAGACCAAACTCAAGTACCGAACTCCTCCTTCCATCTTCCCTCTATAATTGATGTATAATGGACAAAGAAATTACCACAAGGATGATCTTTGGGAGAAATAAAGTGTAATCTTTTGTTGATCTTCTAGCTCTCTGACTCCTTCAGCTGTATCGACGACTTTGCTTTCTGAACCCTCTGTACCTTTGATGTTGTCTGTACAAGTAGTAGAATCAACACTACTATTCAGTACACAATATCTTTGCAGCCACCTGTCAGTCTCCCAGAGAACATGCATTATGCTTTCACGTGCAGCATAGCCATGACTCTCAAAGGGAAGAATAACCAGACGAGAAAGTGCACCATGTCCTTTCAAAGCATTGAAAAATCGATCGGACTGCATAACATAGAAGAAATCAAGAAAATCAAATTCTCTGACATTGGTGGTGAGGCCAACAGTTAAAACAAGAAAGCGGCTTTAGATTGCAAAGTAGTAGTACAAACTAACAGCAACAAGAAGAACAAAGGCCACCGACTTATAAGAACACTGTGCAGATTAATCTTTAAAAGATATAAATATCTTTGGTAAAGAAAACTTTCAAATATAAAGTGGACTCGCACTTTTACCTGCATTGTTAGGGTTCCAGGATTGTTGTCCTCTTCGCCATGAATAAGCAAGATGGGCTTCTTAATTTTATGGGCTGACATGAATGGGCTCATCTCAACGTAGGTAGTTGTGGCCTCCCAAAGAGTTCGATCCTCATTCTGAGCCAAGAAAAAAGAAATAGGTGAATATACTGCCAAAACCTTTACTAGAAAAAAGTATGGAAACCACAGAGAAAGAAGTTCAAATCTTTCTCTTGCCCCCTAATTGAAATGAACCAAAAAGAGAAATACCATAAAATGGGAACAAAACCAACAATAGAATTAAAGCGTGGTGTAATGGAAGAACAAGGAAAACAACTAAAACCTCAACCTCTATTACGTCTATTAAGGACACCATTACCTGAAACCCAAAAGGTGTAAGAGTTCGGTTATAGGCTCCAGATCGAGCAATCCCACAACAGAAAAGATGCGGAGCATGTGCCAGGAGGTTAGCAGCCATGAATGCCCCGTAGGAATGACCGCCAATGGCAATTTTTTCTGCACGTGCCACCTTCAAAGGATAACAGTATGAAAATCAAACATATGTCCATGTCTCCAACTGAAATTGGCAAGGACAGTTCAAAAAACTTACACCCCTACATATAACTTCCTCAACAGCAGCCTCCGCACTTGAAACAAGTTGCTCCACATACCTAGTGAACATAGCTTTTAATTAAACTGACATTGACATTTAGGTTGGAAATGGTAATTTAAAGCTTTGTACTAATACTGCAAGCCAATATGTTCATGCATTCTATTGATGATAATAGAATTTACAAGGTAACAAAGCCTGCACAAATAAAACATACTGAAGTGCAGAAAGGAGGAGTGCAAAAGGTGGATATTAAATTTAGCACAGGAAACATCCATCTGCATGACCTCCAGCAGGAAACATCACCCTTCGCCTCTTATTTCCTTTCACTAAAACTTTCATCAGCTAACCACTCTTTTCAAGTCTGTTATGTCTGATAAGCTAAGGATTCTATAAATCTTTCGTTTTCCAGAGGTTATGTTTGCACAGGTAGTAACCTTCACCAAATGACTAATTACAAAAACTTCTTCCACTAAAAGAGAATAGATTCTTATCCTTTTGAGTTTGAATGGAGAACCAACATGCAAAATCCGTATATATCATATACCTATCATTTGCCTCTTCATCTCCCTCACCAATGATGGGAATTGTCGGTCCAGACAAAACAGCGAACCTGCAAATCAGAGCAATCTTAAAGTTGTAAGATACAACAAATCTGATGACAAAAGTCTGCAGGTGCAGTATTGATATTCAATATACATAAATCATAAATAAAACCCAGCAAGTGGAGAGAAGAAACCCTGCCTCCTTGCCAACCAAAGTAGAGGGGACGTTGGTCCAATTCCAGCAAACTCATTAGGAGAACCACGGACTTGTCCAGCTGCATCTTTACTTTTAAACTCACCTGGATATGACCAAACCAGACATGGAAGGGGTCCATCTTTTGAGGGATCATAACCTGGTGGAAGGTACAGGGTTGCAGTAAGTTGAACTCCGTCCTTCCTTTGATATCTGATCATCTCCTTCTGTAATGATGCTAGCTGAGGGTATGGATGGGGGAAATTTGTAATCTGGCAGGGTTTCTTTTCTGGCCAACTTAGTATGAAATATTGGGTATTTTCAGTTTTAGATTCTTTAGAAGTAAGTATTTTCAATTGATTAAGATACAACTCCCCTTCATTCTGATCGGACATTAAAGCAACAATAGTTTCGTAGTATTTATCCTTATCACTTTGCCATATTCGTTCCTTGTTCCCTGTATTTCTGAAAATTCTCATTTCAGTATCCCAGTACATAAACAAAACATCGACGAAAAATCCATAGACGACACACAAACTCACATGTCAAACAAATCCAAAAATGGGATGTTCCCTTCTGGAGTAGCACCAATTCCACTCAACAGAACATAAATGCCTTCATCGTCAGAATTTTTCACCTTTGCAATCACATAAGTTCCAGCAGAAGTTCTCCGCAACATGGGAGAGCCAGGATCAGAGTAGACGTCTTCTGATGACCTATCAAATAGTATGCGTGGACTTATGTCCTCCCTGGACCCAGGAGAAATAACCCAGGTTCTTATCTTCCGTGTTTTGTACCAGGACTCGTACACCAAAGCAAGCGAATCATCGCACCAAGAAATCCCTCTGTTAAGATGAAAGGTCACAGATGTCGAGCAAGATTACCAGTTCTATCAAGCATGATTGCAATCAGCCAATAACAGAAATTATGTAGGATTGCCAGGAACTGAATTCAAGGAGCAATGCTTCGCTGTTCCAAAGTAAGCCTTCTCAAGAATTATCTGTTGTTTTTTATGCTTGCGAGTTTCCAAAAAAGATGCCAAAATTCAGAAGACAATGCACAGGAGCATACACAAACCAAAGAAAGTTGACACAGACTGCAATTGATAGGAAATAGTGATCATACCCATAGCGAAGATCAAGTTTATGTAATATAATTGGCTGTTCATTTTCAAGTGGCACAGCAGGTTGTGTATAGATAATGTCACGCGGAGACACTTCAACTTTGGCATCACCACCATCTTGCGTCTCAACCCTGATTTAATAACCAACACAAAAGCAAAATATCAAAACAGTACCGTACCACAACTGAAAAGCTACATATAGTAGCCAGTTTTTAGAAGTAGGCACAGACCAAGCAGCAGAGACTAGCAAGTATTCATAACTCTATAGTGTTAACAGGAAGAAAGGAAATTGTTAACCATACCTCTATAGCGTTTAGAATGTATTCATACCCCATTAATCACATAAAAAATTTGCCATCAATCAAAACATAAAAGCTTTCTACAGAGAGAGAAAGAGA